GTTTGTTTGTCTTCCTGCTAATCTACTAAAATCTTTTATTAAAACATAGTGTTCGGTGTTGTTTTGTTCAATTCGTAACAAATTAATATGACAAGATGGTCTTTCAATTTTTGTTATTCTGTCTGCTCTGATGGTTTGGTTCTCATCTTCAACATAAACATTAACTGATATAGATTTGTTATTGATTTCTTCAAAATGGTCTATGTCATCGTTGGATGCTGGAAAATTTACACCATCCCATTGAATTAGACTTTCAGTAGTTATTAATTTCTTGTAGTGTCTCATATGTTGTGGATGGTCTTTCTTGAAGACTTCATAAAATTTACATAAAACACAGTATTTAAAACATAATTCATCATCATTTTGAATGTTGATACATGCTTTTTTCTTTGAAATCCATTCTGGTAGTTCCATATATCTTCCTGCTCTGTTCGGATTGTATTTGTCGTAGTGGATGGTGATTTTGTTAATCTTATTAATCTTCAATCCTGAATGTTTCAAAGGTGAGTTTTCAATTTGTAGTTCAATATCTTTAGGCATATTTTCCAATGCTTTTTTCAAGTCTCCTACATTCAAAATGTTGTATCTCCTACTCCTCATATCGTGTTTTATTTGTATATTTTCCTCAGTTGGTTCGTCTTCTCCATCATCATCATCTTGCTGGTTAACTTTATCAAACAGAACCTCAACATCAATCAGTAGTTTCATTGATTTTGCTTGTTGTAAAAACTCTGTTAGTTTCTTTTCTTGCCATAAAAGATATGTTAATCCTTTGTATCCCTTGAATGGTATGTTGGATATTGAATATGTGTTGGCATACCCTTTCAATGCCGAAAATGTCTCTGATGTTTTTGCTCCTATTTTTAATCTGTATTTCTGGATTGTTTTAATGCCTCTCATTGTGTTTGATGCTTTTTTTAGAAGATGAAATCGTTTGAAACCTTGTGTGTTGCTGACTTGATTGAGTTTGTTTTGAAGTGATGAGGATAATGGTTTGTCTTTGTTGTAATAGTATTCTTTGGTGTTGATGATTAGTTTTTTCAATGGTTTGTTATTCTTCCCTGTTTTTATGGTTGCTTCTTTACTTGATAAAAGATAATCTATAACATAACCTGCTTCGTATTCCCCTGCCATTTTATCTATACTATATAAGGTATTTTCTCTTTAAGTATTTTTGTTTGTGTTTGGTGGTTATGGGATTGGGGTTGGGTTGAAACATTGAAAACAATGGGGTTTGGAGGCATTTTGATATGCTGTAAAAGTGATGCTTGCACCACATCTGGGTATGCTCATAGGGCATATGCTGTATGCTCATAGGGCATATGCTGTATGCTCATGGGGCATATGCTGTATGCTCATAGCGCATATGCTGTATGCTCATAGGGCATATGCTGTATGCTCATAGGGCATATGCTGTATGCTCATAGGGCATCCCTAAAATAGATTAAATTACCACTAAATATGCTGTTGGGGCATATGCTGTATGCTCATTGGGCATATTTAGATGCTACTTTTGTATGCTCAATACGGATGCTACGCATTTGAAAGGAGCATCTGAACGGAGCATTCCTTTTCCCAGAAAGCTTAACAATTGTCTGAAACCCGAACCTTGAAAATGTCAATATCTTAGACTGTGATTAAATGAAAAAATTGTAAAAAAATGTTGAGAAAATTTACCCAAGAACATTTAAAGGGATAATGGGTATAATTAGTATGGAGGAACAAAATGAGCGAAAATGTAGTTGGTGTAAAAAGTCTAACCCAGATGTAGAATTTACTGATAATAGAAAACTCTGTAATGGGTGTGGTGAGAAAAGTAGAGAGAAACATAGACAGAACCGAGAAAAGGAAAGGCAACAGGCAAAGGAATATTATGAACGAAATAAGGAATACAAAAAAGAATATAACAAAGAATATCGTCAATGGCGATATGAATGTCCCTGCTGTAAAGTTATGGTGACTTTTCATCACAA